CTCGTCCAGGCTGGAGGGCAGTGGCACAATCTCAGCTCACTGCACCCCTGACCTCCCTGGGCTCAAGCTATCTTCCCACCTCAGCCTACCAAGTAGCTGGAGCCACAGTTGTGTGCCACCATGCCTGGCTAATTTTTTGAAGAGGCAGTGTTTCGCCATGTCTGTCACCCAAGCTAGTTTCAAACTCCTGAGCCCAAGTGATCCACCCATCTCAGCCTCCAAAGTGCTGATATTACAGGCATGAGCCACTGTGCCTGACCCAACTATCTCTTGTTGCAAAAATTGACAAACTGATCCTAAAATTCTTACGAAATGCAAGAGAAACCAGAAGAGCCAAAACAATCTTGAAAACAAAGTTAGAGGAGTCATACTTTTCAAATTCAAAGTTTACTACAAAGCTACAGTAATCAATACGTTTTACTCGCATTAAAATAGACATACACAGTGGCTCATGCCATAATTCCAGCACTTTGGGATGCCGAGGTGGGAGGATCACTTGAACTCAGGAGTTCGAGACCAGCCTAGGCAACATAGAGGAACCTTGTCTCTACTAAAAAAAAATAAAATTAGCCAGGCATGGTAGCGCATACCTGTAATCCCAGCTACTCGGAGAACTGCTTGAACCCAGGAGGCTGAGGTTGTAGTGAACTGAGATTGTGCCATTGCACTCCGGCCTGAGCAACAAAAGCGAAACTCCATCTCAAAAAAAAAAAAGAAAGAAAGAAAGAAAGCGAGACCACAGGGATTCATTCAGCCTTGACTGTAAGATGGAACCTAGTTCATTAAAGTAATAGCCAGTCTGTGTAAGGTGGTTCTGCACGCAAACTTGAGTCTCTGAAATATTATGGGTGACTCAAGGAAAAAGCCTAGAAAGAAGCAAAGCAGGAATAATCCACAAATTTAAGTTATCTGAGTCCTTCAAAGGTTAGAAAATTAATTTATTTAAAAACTTACTAGTGAGGTCAGGTACCGTGGCTCATGCCTGTAATCCCAGCGCTTTGGGAGGCCAAGGCAGGTGGATCTCTTGGGGTCAGGAGTTCAAGACCAGCCTGGCCAACATGGTAAAACCCTGTCTTGGCCAAGTATGGTGGCTCATGCCTATAATCTAAGCACCTTGAGAGGCTGAGGCGGGCAGATCACCTGAGGTCAGGAGTTCAAGACCAGCCTGGCCAACATGCTGAAACCATGTCACTACAAAAAAAAGTACAAAATTAGCCAGCTGTGGTGGCAGGCACCTGTAATCCCAGCTATTTGGGAGACTGAGGCAGGAGAATCACTTGAACCTGGGAAATGGAGGTTGCAATGAGCCGAGATCGCACCATTGCACTCCAGCCTGGGCGACAAGAGCGAAAATCTGTATCAAAAAAACCCACAAAAACCTGTCTCTACAAAAAATACAAAAATTAGCCAAGCATGGCAGTCATGCCTGTAGTCTCAGGGGAGGCTGAGGCAGGAGAATCACTTGAACCTGGGAGATGGCGGTTGCAGTGAGCTGAGATTGTACCACTGCATTCCAGTCTGGGTGACAGAGCAAGACTCCATCTCAAAAAAGAAAAAGAAAAAAGAAAAAAAAGGAAAAGTACTAATAAGTGTTACAGCTTGTTTAGAATTTGTCTATCAGGCTTTCTAGTATTTGCTGGAAACCCAAAAATGAAAAACAACAACAGCAAAAACTACTAATGATTTTTAAAGTCACATTTTCCATGTGGTTTTAAGGTTTCAAGTATTATTTAAAACATCTAAATAAGCAAAAGTTTCACATTTCTACATTTTAAGCACTTCTATAAGAATACTACCTGACTTTATGAAGGTATTTTGAGGTGAAGGATATCCAGAAGAAACATATTGATGGTTTGTGGTTAGACTTGTATTTCCAGACACAGTTGGTTGGGATGATGCACGAGGACAATGGTTTGTTTGTGAGCCTGTGGAGGGATAGTTATATTGCCAATTCAAAGGTGGTGGCAGATTGGCTCCAGGAAGAAAGCTACCAGAAGGCAATGGTGTAGAAGATGGGTTCTGAGAAGCAGGTAATGGCAATCGGGGAGCAGGATCACTCTGAAGCAAAGGTGTCATTGGATTAGAGGCCACGGGTGGTCTATTAAAAGTCTGACCAGATCCCTGAGAACTACCATGGTTAGACTGTCCAGAGACTGGATTCAAAGTCTTTGCTGGTATTAGATGAGGGTAGGATCCCGGACGCTGGAAACTGTATCCTTGGCTCACTGACTCTTGTGAAGACAGCAATGCGTTTTGGACAGGACCTTCCAATAAAAGGAGGAAAAATTAGTCTTGCAAACGAATACAGCAATACTCTAAAAGCTAAAGTAAAATACACATTCTTATAGTCAGCAAAAAAAAAAAACACATAACCCAATTAAAAAATAAGCAAAGGACTTAAACAGACGTTCAAATATACTTCCAAAGAAGATAGCTAATAAGCACATGCCAAAACATTCAACTTCATTAGTCATTAAGAAATACAAACATCATTAGTCCTAACAGAAATGCAAATGAAAGCCACAATGAAGGCCAGTTCAGTGGATCATGTCTGTAATCTCAGCACTTGGGGAGGCCGAGTGGATAGCTTGAGCCCAGGAGTTCAAGACCAGCCTGGGCAACATGACAAAGCCCCATGTCTATAAAAAATACAAAAAGCGGTCGGGCACAGTGGCTCATGCCTGTAATCCTAACACTTTGGGAGGCCAAGGTGGGTGGATCACCTGAGGTCGGGAGTTCAAGACCAGCCTGGCCATCATGGTGAAATCCCATCTTTTTTTTTTTTTTTTTTTTTTGGCTGGAGTGCAGTGGCGCGATCTCGGCTCACCACAACCTCCGCCTCCTGGGTTCAGGCAATTC